GGACTACTGTACCGAACTTCTTTCTTATAAGAGTTGTAAACCAAAATAGAACAAGGTTATCACAGAATAAATCTTTCACCATTTTTGAGGAGCACTGTAGTTGGGAGGGAAAAAAGAGGTATACTTAAAGATGGAGGAAATAGAGAATACACATCGACAAATGCAACCAAAAAAACTTTATAAAAGGGATGTGAGCACCATGTCCACCCAAACATCTCTCCATTCCACAATACAAATGAATCCCCAGCTTGCTTTTCTCAGTATGTCTTTATTTATATGTAGTTATTAAAATGATTTATGTAATTACCCACCCAATTCACATGTAATGACTCTGGGTAGCTAACAAAGAGTTAAAAACATCAAAACAAAATAGAAATACAAATGTACCATAATAAAGCACAACCAGTATCAAGGAACAAAACAAACACATTCCAATTCCCATGCCGTTATAAGGATAGGTTTATCCAATACTCTGGTTCAATGTTGAGGAGGGGAAAAAAAGAATTTTACCAAATCTTGCAGGCTTTTTTTTACCTTATCAAAAGCCAACAAGTTTTGAGCTACCTTTATTTCAGGAGGTATCCTAAGGCTACAGTGACAGAAAAAGTCCACTTCCTGGGTCCAGCGAGGTGACTTTTTTTTACAGAAGCAACCCAAGGCATACCCAACCTGCTGGAAACTTTGGATCAGACAGAAACAATTTGAGACTGGAGGGCCCACAGATAATCTGGCCTGAATGGCTGTAGAGGTAGTAACCAGGCCGGTTTCGCTTCAGAGTTGACATGGGCATAATTGGTACATAATTGTCTCTCTTTTTCCCAGATGGCTATCTGCCAGCCTTATAAGAATGGAAGATGAATTACATTTAGGCCCCTTTATTGCCATAAAGTACTCCTTAACAAAGGCTGTTACCCATGTTCAGTTGGATTTGTTCTTTGTTTTCTTCCAGCAACACACTAGCTAGCTATCTCTTCTGCTAGTTCATCTGAAAACAAGATAACTCTTTGGAATCCCCAAGCAGATAGATGGTTGCATTTGATCCAAGGTCAAATGCACCCATCATTCCTATATCAAAATTAATTATATTAAATTTTATTATTATATTATCTGATAACTAATAGCAGATAGTGTTACCCTAAATGTTTAGGGAGATTCTTAATCATCCAGGTCATAGTTGTCGCAAAGATGCTTTTTCAAGAGGCAACTGCACTTCCTTGTTTTCTTCTTATTTGAAGACATTTCACTACTCATCCAAAAAGCTTCTTTAGCTCTGACTAGATGGTGAGGGAATGGAAGGATTTACAGGAATATAAATCCTTCCACCACCCCCAGCATCCAGCCAGAGCTGAAGAAGCTTCTTGGATGAGAAGTGAAATGTCTTCAAAGAAAAAGAAAAAACAGTTTTGGGATAAAACAGTCCAAAAAACAGTTTGGGGATAGTGTCACTGTAATATCCCAGATACACTTTGGAAAAGATTCATCTTAACCTGTTTCTAGAAAACAATTACAAAAAAATTGGCCTCAAACTCAAGTGGGAGGCCATTCCACAACAAAAACACCACCAGTGAAAAACAATGCTTGCAAGCCTTATTAGACCTTCAGCTCCCAGAAGTGGGGTACAAAAAGCAGTTTCTGCTGGAATTATTACACCAGAGTAGTTAATTCTGGCTAGAAGGGGTGGTCCTGTAAATTTCTAGACAAAAAGCCATTCCAACAGCAATTTGAATCATGTTTGGAAACCAGCTGGAAGGCAAGACAAGGCCAGCAGCACAGGTGTGGTATACTTGTTGAGCACCAGATAAATACATATCTGCTACATTTTGAACTAACTGCAGTTTCTAAGTCTTCAACGGCATGTTACGTACAACATGTTGCATTTATCAACTTGCATAGAAATGGAGCAGGGGTGGGATGCTACTGGTTCTGCCCGGTTCTAAAGAACCGGTAACTCTGAAGAGCAGCAGACACTGAAACGGTTCTTTGTTGCCTGCTGTTTGGCCCAACCGCCAGCCCAGGCTCTTGCCTGTCCCTTATTTCCTGCTTTTTCACCCTCAGCTGTTTGTGCGGCACAGCTGAGGTTGAAAAAGCAGGAAAAAAGAGGCTTTTTGAATGCTGCGCACCTGTGCGCAGCACTTTTCAGCTTTACACGCGCATGCGGGGTAATGTAAATGTTATCACTGAACCGGTAGTAACACCAGTAACACCAGTTGAATCCCACCCCTGAAATGGAGGCATGTGACATTACTGTTGTGACATCCATTCACCCTGAGTATGGGTGAATGGATGGGTATCATTGCATATTGGTGATACTGTACTCCAATGGATGATCTCTCTAGCACCTTCCTAGCAGGGAGATATGGAGACTGGATGGTATAAAAAGTCAGGTGCTTAGAAGGCCTTTTGAGAGAGGCAGGTCAATAAATCAATCTTAGGAACTTCTCTAGATGAGATACCTACCTTGTTCTGAAGCCTAATTCTTTTTTTTTTTTTAATGTTACAGATGAGTACAGGTATATCTTTCAACCTACAACCATTCATTTAGTGACTCTTCGAAGTTACAACAACACTGTCAAAAGTGACACTACTGTTTTTCACATTTATGACTCTTGCGGCATCCCCATGGTCACATGATCAAAATTCAGGCCCTTGGCAACTGGCATGTATTTATGACAGTTGCACTTTCCCAGGTTCATATGAACACCATTGCCAGCTGACTTCTGACAGGAAAAGTCAATGGGGGAAGCCAGATTTGCTTAACAACGGCATGATTCACTTAACCACTTCAATGATTTGCTTACAACTGTGGCCAAAAAAAGGTCCTAAAATGGGGCAAAACTCACTTAACATCTACCTTGTTTAGCCGTGGAAATTTTGAGCCCAATTATGGCCAAAGAATCAAGGATTACCTATATAGTGGCCTCGGATTGTAAGTAGAAAGAATTGTAATCCCAAGTAGCAAAGGACGTGTTTATAGGAGTCATTGTTCTACTAAAGTACAAATGCTATCAGCATCTAATCTATTTGACCCCTTTTAATAAAAGAAAAAGTTTTTTTGAAAGATCTTAAAAACCTTAAGGTGTGCGGGGACCCATTTGTTGGTTAATTTAATGGCATATTCCTGGCCTCTGTGCTTTTCACTTATTGTATTCTGCATCTCTGATTTACTTGCAAGCTTTTCTATTTTTCATATATATTTAGCAGAGCTTATTTGAATGTTGCAGACTCTTTCAGAGTAGTTGCCTTTGTCTGCAAATAAACAAACAGTGTACCTTGTATCAGTGGTGGGATTTAAAAAAAAATACTTCCGGTTCTGTGGGCATAGCTTGGTGGGCATGGCTTGGTGGGCATGGCAGGGGAAGGATACTGCAAAATCCCCATTCCCTCCCCACCCCACTAACCTGCTTTCCAGCTCCGTCCTCCTGTATGGGGCAACAAAAGAAGACCTAGCCAATAAGCTGGGACTTGGGAGACAGAGAATAGATGGGGGTGGGGCTAGTCAGAGGTGGTATTTGCTGGTTCTCCGAACTACTCAAAATTTCTGCTACCGGTTCTCCGGAACTGGTCAGAACCTGCTGAATACCACCTGTGCCTTGTATATGTGGTAGGAGGTAGGAGCTTTCAGTTGCTATTGCCTTCCTGATTTAAAAAAAAACAACAACTCTCGGGAGCTTGGTTTGCAGGGAACAGGCGTAACACTTTTCACCTATTTTAAGTATTTCAGGTATCTGTAATTGCAGTTTAGTAAAATTCTACTGGGTGGATGGAAAGCAGGCGTAAATCATTATTTAGCTCAAATTTTACATTCTTTCAGAACATAAGGCAGCTACCTGCACTGCAGTAGCTCATTACAGGCATTGTGATTTGTTTTGGTATCTCTAATTATTTCATATATAATTCACGAACTTGGATAAATGAACAGTGTAAAATCAGTTACAAGAAAGGGCATACAGCCAACTAAAATTTTGATATATCTGGGCAGGATAGTCTAAAATAAGGGAGAGATCCTAAAGGTCTCCTACTATAGCTATCAATTATCTTTTCTAGCATGCTAATGGAAGTTATTAGAAGATTCAGGAACCTCCTTAAAATATAACACCAAAAGAACGGGGGCCTGTTAGGGCATGGAGACTCATAATTGTTTTAGAATCATTTAATAGTAGGTGGCTGGGTAAATGCATAGAGAAAATGGTTGGGGGACCTATGAGGTTACTTATATGTCTTTTACCAGTCAAACAGTCAGATTCTCACTTTAACCATTATTTGAGAGTAACCTTTTTTCAGCTTACAGGAACTACAAGTTAAAACAGTCCTAGACATTCTTACTCTTGAGGAAAAATACATGCCCTAATAGCACTAGCACTTAGTCTTATGTACAGCTTCATGGTGCTTTACAGCATTCTCTAAACCAGGGGTGTCAAACTCAAGGCCTGGGGCCCAGATCTGGTCCACAGGATGTTTAGATCTGGTCCGGGGGAAACAGCAAAGGACTGGCCTGCAGTGCCTCTGCCAGCAAAAATGGAACTCCGTTTTTGCTGGCAGAGGATTGCAGGAAGCCATCGCAGCCCAAAATGGAGCTCAGGAGCCTGTTTTCACTGGCAGACCACTTGAGCCGCCACAGGCGCCCCCAACATGAGTGATGTTGAGCTGGACATGCCCCCGTGCCCATGCCACCCCTACCCAACCCACCATGATGCAGCCCTGAATGAAATTGAGTTTGACAACCCTGCTCTAAGTGGTTTACAAAGGGCAACATATTTCCCACAACAATCTAGGCCTCATTTTACTAACCTTGGAAGGATGGAGTCAACCTTGAGTCAACTCCTGGTTATGGGGAGAGTCAGATTGTAATACTGCATTCTAACCACTATGCCACCAAGGATCTAATAGATTTGTATAATATAGTTCTTCTTCCTGGTCCAATATTGCATCAATGCAGAGCCCATTTGGATGGGAGCAATGGTTAAAACAGTTCAAGTAACTTTTAATACTGTTTCTCCCAGCAGCTGCAACAGAAGAACCAGAGGTTATTCCTGACCCAGCCAAGCAGACTGACCGTGTAGTGAAAATAGCAGGAATAAGTGCTGGAATCCTTGTCTTTATTCTCATCCTCCTCCTTGTCATATTAATTGTCAAAAAAAGGTAAGTATGGTAAATTTGCCATTTTCTTTTCATGCAAATAAATGATAAGATTTGTTCACAGTTCATTGTAGGAAAATGGTACTAGGGAGAGCATCCTTATCATGAATGGAAGGTATTTCGTAAAGTCAGAAACCGATATTCTACCATAAAAATCAAATATATATATATATATATTAGTATTGTTGTACAAACTGTAAAGACAATGACTGGTGAAATTGAAATAATAGCTTTATACCTTCATAACATTTCTTATATTTTACTAGGGTTAAACTGAACTTGCTGTTTCAATTAGCCCTGCTTATTCTCTTGTATTATGAAATGTCTGGCCTACTTATCTTGGAAAATATTTTACAGGCTATGTTACCTTCATTTATATTTTTGTAAGTGATGAAAGCTATAGTTAAAATCACATTATCTTATTATAAATTTTCCATTGGGTTATAGGCCTGCAGACCTCAAAATGCAAAAGTATATTAAATGGTGTCTCATTTCTTTAAAAAAAACTTAGCAATTTCAAAGTAACAACAAAAATCAATAGCACCACCTTCTGGAAATAGAAGTAATTCTGAAAAAAAACCTATAGTTTTATTTTTTAAAAAACACATTTTATTGGTAAGTTTCAAACACTTTGTTAATTGACACATATTTTCATAATCAACATATGTGACTTAATGAATAGCTTTCAGATCCTTTTTCCTTGCAGTTTCTGTTTCTCTCACACATCTGGATGAGCAAATGGCTGCTTAATATGAAGCTGCTTATGTCAAGTGATTTGTTCCATCTAGCCTAGGACTGATGGACAGAGAGCCAGTTCTTTAAAATGTCACTTAAAAGTCTCTCACATCACCTGCCACTTGGGATCCCCTTAACTGGAGACGATAAAAATAATATGCAGACTTTATGAATTCAGACTGTGTGTTCTACCACGGAGCTATGGATGTCTTGCTTCAGAGATTGGTTGCAAAACTGTTGTTTTTATTCTAGGCAAGGAAGGAATAGAAGTAGGGGTATTTTTGGATCTCTTACCTATGTTAAAGTGAAATGAATTTTCTGTTCCAGTTTTCCAAGTAGGGAAAAAAACAACTAGACACTGTGCCTAAAAATCATATTTATGTCTTAATGGTTTCCAATAGATTTTTTTTAATTTATTGCCTTTTTACAATGATTCCCCCGGAGATATATAACATGGAGGAGAAACGTCTGCATTAGAACCCTTAGGTATGCTAATAGTGTTTTGTGTTAGACACATATGTGATTTCTCCCAATAGTGCTTTCACTTTTTTTTCCTGTTGTGTACCTCTGTGCTTAAAAAGAAATGTAAATGCTACAAACCAGTCTATAGTAAAAATCATGAGATATCCACTTGTGCAAATTAAGGGCCAGATCAGTAAATAACTGTCTTGCTTTTTAGCTGGAAGTTCTCCTTGACAAATGATGAAGAAATGTGATTGCCAGAACTATAAAGACAGGCCAGTGAGAAATGTTCTCAGAATATCAGATAGCCAACAGCTGCTCCCGGGGATGTGACACTTCCTTACAAACCTATCATAATGTCAGCACTCGTGCTGACATTTACGCCAAACTATTAGACCCTTCTGTGAGGCTAACCTGTGATCAATTATAATGGCTTTTCCACTAGCAGTGCTTAGGACACTGTTAGCTTGAGTAAGTTTTACAGCTGCTTACATAGAATAATTGGGCCAGTAGAGTAAGCATTATATTCACAAGTGATCATGGAGATACAGATCTCGTACTCTGGGGAAAAAATATGGTGAAATGTAGCAGTCTGGTGAATTCCAGCTATGATCCACAAAAGTTTTCAGTTCTCATTTCATTTCCAGTAGGGAGAACACCTCAATGCTGTTACAAACTACACTTTGCAGAATTAGACAGTTTGTCAACAGCTTCTTAAATTAAGTTGGAGCAGTCATTTTGCAGGGGGTGGAGTGGGGGTTTCTTCCTATTTGAGGAAATCAATTTCAGTGGAGGAGTATTATCAGATGCACGGTCCATTACCCGATCTAGTTCATCAGCATCTCATGTTTAATTTGCATGACATTTTCATAGCTATGTTCCACCTTTCCTAATTTATCATGTCATTAATAAGTTTGCTGACCCTGCAGTGTGTGAACCTTTATTGCATTGATCTATTTCATAATGTGTAAGAATTTTCTCATGAACTCTATTAATTCAGATTAAAAGGAGATGGATGGAAACCTTTTCCATTTTTTACATTAAATAGACAGCAATTCTTTGTCTAGAATTTTCACAGAAGTATTATTATTGGAGGGAATTAATCGACCCTGAAAATCCCACATTTCAACTTCTTATTTTAGTTGTATTTAGATTTATTTGGTATTTATTTGGTATTATGTTTCTTCTATGAGTTGATAAACTAACTATAATAAATATATATTATAGTTGATAAACTAACTAAAACTAATTATAATAAAAGGTAAAAGATAAAGGAGTCCCTGTAGGTTTTACTCTGCTAATTGTAGCTGACTTTAGGGACGGTGTTCAACTCTGTTTCTTTAAGCCATTGAGCCAGTGCTGTCCGAAGACATTTCTGTGGTCATTTGGCCAGCATGACATCACACCACAGTACAAAGCATATAGCAAAACACAGATTACTGTTATCTTTTCGCTAAGTGGTACCTATTTATCTATTTGCATTTACAGGCTTTCAAACTGCTGTTAGCATAGAACTGAAACACATGACGGGAGCTCACTCTCTCACGCAGTGGTAGGACTTGAACCACCATAGTACACACCTTCTTCAGCGTCTTTTAAGCCATTGAGCCACCATGCCTCCACTTATATTGCTATAAAATTATTTAACACCAAATCCTGAAACATGGTTAAATTAAATAGCAATTTTGATCAAATTTGATTTTTTTAAATGAGGATAACTAGTCTAATAGAAAACCCACTCAGTTGCTTTCTTCCTCCAAAATAAGCAAGTAAACAGGCATCTTTACACAACATCAGTGTACAAAAATAGTGAAAAAGTTCAGTCAGATGTGCATTACAGGGAGAATCACTGACTAGTTGCCTTCTTTACTTGATCATATCATTCCATAATTGCTCCTTTCACCTAAATCTAGTAAAAATTAGCTTGCAAAAGAGATAAATGGAAAAAATAATTCATCCCCCTTGAATGTTTAGCTGCCGCCATCCTTAGCTTTGCTGTTGGAAATCAAATCTACAGGGGTTTTCACAAGCAGTGTGAACATGTGGTCATATGATTAGTACATTACGTAGCTTGGCTCTTGGTCACCCTTCCCCTTCCCATTTGAAAATGAAGATGGAGATAGATAATGCATAAGTATACAATAAGCCATTTAAGTGAGCAGCTCCTCATTGTATTCTTCCACAGGTTTATAATGATGTGCGGTACTTAAATTTATCCTAAGCATCACCCATTTTTCAAGCAATTTTTTACATGGAATTGCAGCAGAGAGAAAAAAAACCTACAATCTTTTCAAGCATAAGTGGAGATTTGAATCCATTTACATTACTAACATTTCTTACCTTGCCCCAAACATACATAAGCATATAGTTTCTTACCTTAGTTTCAACCTATTGGTTCCTATGATACTTGATTCATGCATGGAGCTCTTTCTTCTTCTGACTAGAACTGTTATCACTGGTCAAAGGTATCCTTCCAGGCCTCCATTTTAATTGGGTTCTTAATGAATCCATTTCTCCTGTGAATTAGGAAAACATGTCTTATATTTTTGCTAAATAAAGAAATATTTCTTTATATACACAGCAGCATGTAAACACAGTGGTGTTAGAAAACACTTTCTGCTTTAACCCTAAGTGCTTAGTGTATTCCAGGTGCTATAGAATAATTATATTGATTATAATTCTGTACATACATATTAGAGTTTCCATTATGTGGTATCCCTTTTGATACATCAACATTTTAGCAAACTCAGAAAAATGCTTCTGAATTTCACACAGATTTAACAACTTTAACCTTGCATAGACTTTTTCAAATTTGAACTAATGGGGGAAAACATTGATTGGTAAGCACTTATGTTATGATTTCACAAATCAGAGATGTTCTTATGCTTTGCCTTATCATTTTGCGCAGATTTTGAAGTGGATGGAAACTCTATTAGATACTATAGAGTTTTACAAAGTTATACAGCTGACTTTTAAGAAAAGGGATACTGCATCTCTTGAATAGCAAATACTGTATTTTTTTAATCATTGTTGAAATATTTCCAAATGTACATCATCTCCTTCCATTTGTTTATTTCTCATTTTTGAAGCTAAGTATGCATATATCAGTATTTTCAGTTTAAAAACAGCAGCTGTGCGTGTATATAGGGGTTTAATATACACGCACTTCTACTGTAGAATACCAGAGCACAGTACATTGGCTGCATTCATACATAATACTAAGCCTCTGTTCTGGTTGTTTTTTTTAATTCCCTCCCTCCTCTCCCCCTCCCTTTTTTTTGGGATGAGCTATAGTTGCCTGGTTCGCACATAACACAAATGCCATAATGGCTTTATTTGCACATGATTCATCTGAAAACCAATAAAACATTATGGCTTAGCAAAAAAAAATATGCCTGTATACCTGTATGTAATTGTCTTACAGTAGTTGTTGGTTAACCTGTCTCTGCCACTACTAGTCTTTGAGTTTGTAACTAAAAGCTAAAACAGAAAAAAGAAGGAAAGTAAACTTTAGAGCACAAGAACTGTACACAGCTGTTTTGTATTTCATAGCATTTAGAAAGTTACCAGTCATCGCATTTATGCTGCATGCCGAACTAACATAACCCATTTTGGTTTCCATTTTTTTTTTACTGCAATAAATGAAGTGTTAGCATGTCATTTTTCTCTTGTGAACTCCCTCTGTTATTGAAATCTTTTTTTTTAATATGCTAACATATTTTTTTCCAATTGCATGGCTCTGTAAGACTAATCAGTGCATGAGCAAGATTGTAATGCTAACAAAGAACACATGAATTTTTAATCTT